AATTTCTGTGAATTAAACTAGATCTAATCAAACTTTACACAGTATCTCTATATATAGTGATTTAAAGTGGCTGACTGTTTTCTGTTTTGTTTATTACATGACAGAGATTGTGTCAAGTCAATGACATGTTGAAACAAAAATGAATATTAAAAGTTACATGATTTCATCAATAGGGTTTGTTTTAAATGATTACATTATGTGAATAATTATTTATGAAGATGTTATTTATATCTGGTGTGGCATTAAAAGTTAATGAATTGAACCCTTGTGTCAGGAAAAGGAAACGTAGATAAAATGCTAATTGTATCTATGCATGTTGCTTTCTAAGTTTGTAAAAAATGAGTACCGTAAAATCTGTATTAGAAGCCGCATCCCCAATAGAAGTCGCACCCATTCTTTTTGAATATTTGAGAACCAAAAATTCATTATTTCTCATATGTGTAGATGCTCTAATAGAAGCCACATTCCCTCTGTTGCATTGTACCATTTTAATAGAAGCCTTGGTTTCTAATACAGATTTTACAGTAAAAATTATTGTTAAAATAAGATTGATAGTAAAAAGTATTTCACATGAGAATTACCCTTTATAATTGTTAAAAGCTATTTGGGAATTGTTTATAACTGGTGAGATTGGGTAAAAATGCATCGGGAAAACAAGACAATGTGAATAATGGCTGGCCTGAAACAGACAACCTCAGGCACTAGACTAATTATATAGCATACCATTCATCATTGGTCCCAGGGAATAAGCTGTTGCATACCTAAAACAACAGCTGTTGTCAGACAGGTGATATAAGACAGACTGTGGTTAAACTGACAAATGCACTGCTTTTATTGTTTAGTTTACAGCTTTCAGTTAATAATTAACTAAAGCAAAGAAGTTAAAACTTGAGTCCTAAACAGCTCAGTCTTGTTTGATCAATACCAGCAGTACCCAGCCATACATCTAGACTGCAACGGCTAAGAGTGAAGATTTGAACATTTTAGTACCTTGCCTGCTCCAGAGTGAGGATACATATCTCAGGTAATTTCTACAAAGTGGTGACTATAAGTTGACTTTACTCTGGTGTGCTCATTAACTGTAGCTGTGGTGTGAGTTGTTTGTGTTTTCGTGTTGTTGTAGTTGTTTACCAGAATTCTAATTCGCCTTAGTATGCACTGAACACATTTTTGATTACATGAACAAATTATCTATACCAAGTCCGTCACCGAAGAATCGTCTTGGTCATGGAAGGCAGTACCCGATAAA